AAAGAGGGCCCCCCGCCCCCGGGGGGGGGGGGGGGGCTTCCTTCTTTTCTTTTTTTAAATATATATCTACTTTTTAAACATATTTTTATTGATCTCAGAGAGGAAGGGAGAGGGAGAGAGAGAGAAACATCAGTGATGAGAGAGAATCACTGATCGGCTACCTCCTGCATGCCCCCACGCTGGGGATCCAGCCCGCAACGGGCATGTGCCCTGACTGGGAATCGAACTGTGACCTCCTGGTTCCTAGGTCAGAGCTCAACCCCTGAGCCACGCCGGCCGCCAGCCGGGCAGTTTCCTTCTTAACAACCAGGTTCTGGAACCTGTGGCGGAAACAAGAGAGCCTGGTCCTCGGGGATGTGGTCATCACAGCAATGAAAACATCTGGGAGTGAAGAGCCATGTGCTGGCTCCCGCACAGCCTTCCTCCTCCTGCTCCACAGCCGTGTCTGAGCCGTGTGTGCTGGGCACGGGGCACGCGCAGCGAGACAGGCACGGTCCCTGCCCTGGGGGGCTGTGTTGGAAGACGCAGAAAATAAGTATTTATAGCCGAACCGGTTTGGCTCAGTGGATAGAGCGTCGGCCTGTGGACTGAAGGGTCCCAGGTTTGATTCCGGTCAAGGGCATGTACCTTGGTTGCGGGCACATCCCCACTGGGGGGTGTGCAGGAGGCAGCTGATCGATCTCTCTCATCGATGTTTCTAACTCTCTATCCCTCTCCCTTCTTCTCTGTAAAAGATCAATAAAATATATTTTTTTAAAAAATAAGTATTTATATGAGTGATGACTGAACTATGACAGTGACAACTGCAACAAAGGAAAACGGCGGGCACCTGGCCTAGTCTGGGAGACTTCCTGGAGGAAGGGGCATTGAACCAGAGACCAGGAGGCGGAGTGACTCCCATGGGGTGAGCAGCTGCTCTGTGCAGGGAGAAGCGCGGGCCAGCCTGGGGTCCGAGTCCCTCGTTGAGCACCCCAGGGCCATCACGGAGGAGCACTCGGAAAAGAGCGCCTCTCAGTCGGCCAGCGCTGCTCAGTAGTTAGCGTCGAACCAGGAGCCGAGTGGTCCCCAGTTCAATTCCCAGTCAGAGCACGTGCCTGGCTGTGGGCTCGATCCCCAGTGGGGTGTGCAGGAGGCAGCCGATGCGCCGATCTCTCTCATCATTGATGTTTTTTTCTTTCTTCTTCTTTTTTTTAATCCTCACCCAAGGATATTTCTCCATTGATTTTTAGAGAGAGTGGAAGAGGGAGGGAAAGACAGAGAGAAGCATCGACGTGAGAGAAACACATCGATTGGTTGCCTCCTGCACGTGCCCAGACCAGGGCCCGGGCTGGGGAGACGCCTGCAGCTGAGGTTCATGCCCTTGACCGTAATTCCAGAATCGAACCCGGGACCCTTCGGTCCGCAGGTCGATGCTCTATGCACTGAGCCAAACCGGCCAAGGCTCATCATTGACGTTTTTCTCTCTCTCCCTCTCTCTTCCTCTCTCTCTAAAATCAATAAAAACATATTTTTTTAAAAAGAGTGCCTCTCGGAACCACACATCTTGTGCTCTAACAGCGTGAACCCGTTTCACAGCCTGTCCTGCGAGCCAGGCCCCGACAGGGCCCTGAAACGGCACAATGGGCGAGCGGGACCCCGCAGGGCAGTGACGCTGCCGGTCTCCAGACACAAAGGCCGAAACAGAGAACTTGTCCCGTGGGAAGGACGGGCACAGAGCTACAAAGGGCTCCTGACGCCATAAACCAGCAGCGGAGACCACGGCCAAGGCTCCAGGGCCCCCGCGGGAGCAGGAGAGGACCAGTAACTGCCCCCCAGTCCTGCAGAGCGGAAGGCTGGGGGGCCGCTGACGCCAGCACCACCCCCCACCCCATCCTCCTGCCCTCCACACCTTATTTTCCGCAGCAACGTGTGGAAGGGCCGGAACAGCTCAGACATGTCTTCTGCCTTTCGGTCCAAGTTTAGGGGTCCGTCCGCGTAGACCACAAGGCCACTGCATTCAAGACACAAAAGCCAGCCTGGCTTCAGGCCCCGCGGCTGCTGGGTGCCCAGACGCACCGGGGCCTCCAGGCCACCCCACACCCAACGCGGCACATGCTTCGCCTCAAGACCCAATCCTTTTTATTAAAAAAATAAGGTCTGGTGCACAAAATTTGTGCACAGGTAGGGTCCCTAGGCCTGGCCTGTGATTAGGGCCAATCAGGTTCCCTGCCTCCTCCTTCCCTCGCTCCCTCAGCACCCCGCCACTGCAGCTGGTTGCCCGCCATACTCCACGCTGCCCCCTGGTGGTCAGCACACATCATAGCGAGTGATCAAACACCCGGTCTAACTTCCTAGGGGACAATTTGCATATTAGCCTTTTATTATATAGGATATTTTTTATTGATATCAGAGAGGAAGAAAAGGAGAGTGATAGAGAAAGCAGCGGTGGCCCACAGATGACCTCACTGCAGGGCCCTCCCGCTCTCCCGCTGAGCTGTGTCAGGCACGGCGGTGGGTGGGGTGGGGTGGGGTGGACCCCTGCATCTCCCTCCCCCCACAGCCCACACCAAGTCCCAGGGGTCACCACCCTGCAGACAGCCCTGACCCTGAACAGCCGCAGCTCCTCCTGCTGCAGTTTTCCAGCTGGAAATATCGGAAAAGCCCGCAGAGCAGGCACCCCCCCGCCACAGAGCTGAGGCCGTGGCCCCACACCTAGCCCATGACTTCACACCTAGACCATGACCCCATGCTGAGGCTATGGCCTCATGCCTAGCCCATGACTTCACACCTAGGCCGTGACCCCAACCGTGACCCCATGCTGAAGCCATGACCCCATCCCAAGGCTGTGGCCTCACGCCTACAGCACCCGCGTGGTCCGCAAGGTCACCTCAGCTCGAACTCCGCAAACAGGACGTCGAAGTGCCTCAGCGCCTCCCGCATCTTCTCCGTGTAGGTGTTGAGGTCCCGCAGCGCCTGGTCGCGGAGGGCGCCCCGCACGTCCTCCAGGCTGCGGGTCAGCTCCTTGGCCAGCGGGCGCATGGCCATGCTCTCCAGCTCCCGGTTCCTGGTTCATAGGTCAATGCTCTACCACTGAGCCACGCCGGCCAGGTGAGTCCAAATCTTAAATAAGTTTAGAGAAAAGCAATGAGAACTGTCACTCCAACTGTGTCCTGTTCTGACAATGGTCACTCGAGGGACCATCAGATAACCACCACCTGGGCGGCCTGTCGCCGCGGCGACCACATCCGTCAGCACAAGACTGTCCCTGAGCCCCAGGCCTGGGAAACGGACACCCCTAGAGTTTGTGACAACGAGACCCAAAGCCATCTACCCCCAGAGCCAAGCAGAAGCGGGAGCAGCCGCCTTCGGGGGTGTGAGCACCATTTATCAGCACCCGGCGGAGCCGCCGGACTGGACGGCCCTGCCCGGTTCCTGCCGAAGGACCGTCCGGGGGAGGGACACTCACCACACGATGGCCAGCCGGGGGATGGTGAACATGAGGGCGGGCTCGTAGTCGTCAATCATGTCCTGGGTCAGGTACCCGCAGTCCAGGGCCCTGGCCGGGGGGCACAGTGAGGAGGGCAGGGCCTGGGTCAGACCCGCGTCCACGCCGGGCGGACAGTCGGAAGGTGACGCGTGCGCCCTGAGCCCTCGCAGGTGTGGGCAGGGCGGCCTGTGCTGACTCCCCTCCCCCCGCTGATCCCAGCGACACAAGTCAGAGCCTCTCTCCCGCGGGTGAGTGAAATGCCTCGACAGGTCAACACCGAATACTCCGTCTTAAAAAAGCCACGGCTTAGGAGGCCACAGCAGGCGATTTCACAACTAGCCCAGAAGCAGGGCCCTAGTCACACACAGAGACCACTCCAGGCTCCATCGTCCCCAGTCCGTTCAGAGTCTGACTTCACATCCCCCCAAACCCGTTGGGGACCTGACACCCAGCCAGGGCCCCACCCTGACATGGGGTGGGGAGGGGGAGGAGAAGGGAGGGAAGGAGGGGGAGGAGAGGGGAGGAGATGGGTGGGGCATGGAGGTGTGCAGATGAACAGGTGGAAGGGGGAGGGGAGGACTGGAGGAAGAGGAGGTCAGCTCCTGGAGGCTGAGCCTGTGCAGCTTGCCCTGTGGGTGAATTTTCTGTCACATGAACTTCAGCTGCAGGGTCTGCCCTCTGGGCCCAGAGGAAAGATGGGGGGGGTGAGGGGGGGCTGAGGAACGAGGCTGCAGCCCTGAGGAGCGGCCTCTCGGGACTGCCCACCCCCGGGCACAA